GCATTAACAGCCTGCATGATAACACCTTGATCCAACAGATGACTTGGTCTGGAACTAGGCCGCGGAGGCGTTGACCACCGATAACATACTCCAGGTAACATTCAATCACTTGATGGCCAGACCCAGCTTAAATGATTCAGGTGAACTCCTGACCTGACTTACCCGACTCCTCTACTTCCTCGCAATGAGTCAGAAGTCTGACCTGACTTACCTGGCCCACTTGTCACTTTACAATGTCTTGGAAGTTTCACCTGACTAACATGGCTTTCTCCTCACAAGCAACAGAGTAATTCTTACAAAACCCGTCACCCTTAATCTTCTAGCATCTTTTATCTTGTTATTTTGTGTAATTATCTTACATTACTGACCACAAAGATCTTTGTATAAACTTCTACTGTATGACTCTTTTACCTTCTCTCGCATACATTATTTTTTCCCCGTATCTGCTAATTATTCTTCTGATCAAATATTTAAATCCAATAATGTTTAGGCCTCATGGACCGACCTGTGATGTAATTTCTGTTTCTTAAGATATTTCTCTCTCTCTCTCTCTTTCTCTCTCTCCTCTTCTTTCTCTCTCTCTCTCTCTCTCTCTCTCTCTCTCTCTCTCTCTATATATATATATATATATATATATATATATATATATATATATATATATATATATATATATATATATATATATATATATATATATATATATATATATATCTTTCATAATACTGAATTCGCACTTCAGCTTAATATATTTTTATCCAGTACTCTCCTACACTCCTCTCTATGACCACATGTCACGTGATCATTATAACACATTTTCCTAACAATAACACACTTATGACTTTTCCAATCTCTCACTTTTACTGTATAATTTTTAACAATTACAATAAGAAGGTTGGCTCTTACACAAAAAATGGAGCAGAATGAAGTGTGAGGGAAAAGTTCAATAGATAGGAGTAGCGATATAGTAACAATAGTTTCACTGCCGGCTACTAGTTAAGGTAGGGTAAGTCAAGCTCCCATTTTTTCCCGCCTTTTTTTCCCCCTCCCTGAAAGTGATAGTTTCACTGCCGGCTGCTTGTTAAGGTAGGGTCAGTCTAGCTCCCGCTATCCCCTCCCCTCCCTCTTCCCCCCCCCCCAGAAAGGTGACGTGTGGGGCTCTGGTTAAACAGTAAATCCCTCGACTCACAGCTCCCAACACTACTGTAAGTACATACCTGCCTTGTATTCTAGTGGATTTATTGGTTAAAAGCTTCACTTTTGACAAATAATAAACTTAGTCCTTTCAGTCTTGCTCTAGGTTGACTGTTGTAATAATCACCACGTCTTTTGAGTATTGTACACTGCCATGGAGAGTGATTATTTAAGCAGTGGGTAACCTGTCTATCTTTTCAGCTTGGATGACAGTGAGGGTCACCTGTCAGTCAACGAGAAGAACGGATGGAGAAGGACTAACGTCCTGAGACTTCCCCATTTTGGATCTAATTACCTGTGCACCTGTATGAAATTGCAGGACGTAACCCCACATCATTGCAGCGGTAAAGAACCTGCTTTCCTGTCATCGGGAGAGATTACTCACTGGTATACTGTGAAGAACTAGCCAGTGGATGGTCACCAACACCTGCGACCCCCCCCCACCCCATCATCAGCAACGGCTACGATTTCAACAACAGTGTCACCAACACCAGACACCCCTGTAGATATTAGCGTTGAGTTCAAATGTTATTTTATTCATTTCATTTTTCATTTTTCTTTCAAACAGGATATGCCTTTCATGTTTTATTGTTTTATGTTTGATTTAATAAATAATAAAGTGTTTATCTTTGTGAATTATTATTTCTTTTTCTATTCATTAATTTTCCTGAGGAGGAGCCAGCCTGAGTAATACTGTCTGAAGTTGTTACAGGGCTGAGTAAGCCTTCACATGGAGCCACACAAAATGTTTATTTTGTGTGGCTGATGCTCGAGTGTTGTGGCTAAATAAGCTAGGTGAGTATTGTTGATGCTCGAGTGTTGTGGCTAAATAAGTTAGGTGAGTATTGTTGATGCTCGAGTGTTGTGGCTAAATAAGTTAGGTGAGTATTGTTGATGCTCGAGTGTTGTGGCTAAATAAGTTAGGTGAGTATTGTTGATGCTCAAGTGTTGTGGCTAAATAAGCTAGGTGAGTATTGTTGATGCTCGAGTGTTGTGGCTAAATAAGTTAGGTGAGTATTGTTGATGCTCAAGTGTTATGGCTAAATAAGTTAGGTGAGTATTGTTGATGCTCAAGTGTTATGGCTAAATAAGTTAGGTGAGTATTGTTGATGCTCGAGTGTTATGGCTAAATAAGCTAGGTGAGTATTGTTGATGCTCGAGTGTTGTGGCTAAATAAGTTAGGTGAGTATTGTTGATGCTCGAGTGTTGTGGCTAAATAAGCTAGGTGAGTATTGTTGATGCTCGAGTGTTGTGGCTAAATAAGTTAGGTGAGTATTGTTGATGCTCGAGTGTTGTGGCTAAATAAGTTAGGTGAGTATTGTTGATGCTCAAGTGTTGTGGCTAAATAAGCTAGGTGAGTATTGTTGATGCTCAAGTGTTGTGGCTAAATAAGCTAGGTGAGTATTGTTGATGCTCGAGTGTTGTTGCTAAATAAGCTAGGTGAGTATTGTTGATGCTCGAGTGTTGTGGCTAAATAAGCTAGGTGAGTATTGTTGATGCTCAAGTGTTATGGCTAAATAAGTTTTAGGTGAGTATTGTTGATGCTCAAGTGTTATGGCTAAATAAGTTAGGTGAGTATTGTTGATGCTCGAGTGTTATGGCTAAATAAGCTAGGTGAGTATTGTTGATGCTCAAGTGTTATGGCTAAATAAGCTAGGTGAGTATTGTTGATGCTCAAGTGTTATGGCTAAATAAGTTAGGTGAGTATTGTTGATGCTCAAGTGTTGTGGCTAAATAAGTTAGGTGAGTATTGTTGATGCTCAAGTGTTATGGCTAAATAAGCTAGGTGAGTATTGTTGATGCTCAAGTGTTATGCTAAATAAGCTAGGTGAGTATTGTTGATGCTCGAGTGTTGTGGCTAAATAAGCTAGGTGAGTATTGTTGATGCTCAAGAGTTGTGGCTAAATAAGTTAGGTGAGTATTGTTGATGCTCAAGTGTTGTGGCTAAATAAGCTAGGTGAGTATTGTTGATGCTCGAGTGTTGTGGCTAAATAAGCTAGGTGAGTATTGTTGATGCTCGAGTGTTGTGGCTAAATAAGCTAGGTGAGTATTGTTGATGCTCAAGTGTTATGGCTAAATAAGTTAGGTGAGTATTGTTGATGCTCAAGTGTTGTGCCTAAATAAGTTAGGTGAGTATTGTTGATGCTCGAGTGTTATGGCTAAATAAGCTAGGTGAGTATTGTTGATGCTCAAGTGTTATGGCTAAATAAGCTAGGTGAGTATTGTTGATGCTCAAGTGTTATGGCTAAATAAGTTAGGTGAGTATTGTTGATGCTCAAGTGTTGTGGCTAAATAAGTTAGGTGAGTATTGTTGATGCTCAAGTGTTATGGCTAAATAAGCTAGGTGAGTATTGTTGATGCTCAAGTGTTATGGCTAAATAAGCTAGGTGAGTATTGTTGATGCTCGAGTGTTGTGGCTAAATAAGCTAGGTGAGTATTGTTGATGTTCAAGTGTTGTGGCTAAATAAGTTAGGTGAGTATTGTTGATGCTCGAGTGTTGTGGCTAAATAAGCTAGGTGAGTATTGTTGATGCTCGAGTGTTGTGGCTAAATAAGCTAGGTGAGTATTGTTGATGCTCGAGTGTTGTGGCTAAATAAGTTAGGTGAGTATTGTTGATGCTCAAGTGTTATGGCTAAATAAGCTAGGTGAGTATTGTTGATGCTCGAGTGTTGTGGCTAAATAAGCTAGGTGAGTATTGTTGATGTTCAAGTGTTGTGGCTAAATAAGTTAGGTGAGTATTGTTGATGCTCGAGTGTTGTGGCTAAATAAGCTAGGTGAGTATTGTTGATGTTCAAGTGTTGTGGCTAAATAAGTTAGGTGAGTATTGTTGATGCTCGAGTGTTGTGGCTAAATAAGCTAGGTGAGTATTGTTGATGCTCGAGTGTTGTGGCTAAATAAGCTAGGTGAGTATTGTTGATGCTCGAGTGTTGTGGCTAAATAAGCTAGGTGAGTATTGTTGATGCTCAAGTGTTATGGCTAAATAAGTTAGGTGAGTATTGTTGATGCTCAAGTGTTGTGGCTAAATAAGTTAGGTGAGTATTGTTGATGCTCAAGTGTTATGGCTAAATAAGCTAGGTGAGTATTGTTGATGCTCAAGTGTTATGGCTAAATAAGCTAGGTGAGTATTGTGAGTAGCTGACCTCATTAAATGTGTTTCTTGTCAAGCCTATATACACGGAGAGCTTTCATGGAACAAAAATGTCAATTAATATGATATTCTCGCAACGAATATCAAAAATCAGAAAAAAAGAAACATTAGCTCTCATTATTTTTCTTATTCCTATATATATTATAAACATCTTGCAAAGATCTCTCCTTGTGGGATTTTTTAATTGTCTTCGGTGTCTGTGATTGTAGTTACTAGACTGTATTTTATATTACCATTATTACTCTCCTAGATCTTGCTAGCAATATAATAAGCTGACAATAATTATGAACTTCTTACAGACAATGTACAATTTAGAAACAAAAGCAAGTAAAATAGCCTTTAAGTTGACCAGATTGAAAGTATAGCCATTTGTAACAAAGACTTGTATACAGTTTCATCGAATTATATCACATAGGTCTCTTTAAGACAACTGTAGAGGCTAATGATATGCTACAATGATCCTGGCTCTATGTCCTTTTCTCCAGTTGTTTTTACTGTCACATGTTTTCACGCCATAAAATTACCCTCAACCAGTGATTTAAAAAAAATATTGCCCACTCACCTTTTGGTAGCAGATATGTATGAGTGACTGTCAGTGTTGGTAGTTAATATGTGCAGTGATTATTGTTTTATGTATCACTAGTGGGTTACCGCCACTCACCTGCTTGAAGCTGGTTTGTGTAAGAGTAACTGTATTATGCTGGGTTACCAACTGGCCGCCACCACCACCTACACCTCCTTGGTTAAACCCGAAGTTTAAACCACCACCAAACCCGCCGCCGCCGCCGCTCTGGTCGAACACGTCGTCGAACTGGAAATAATCATTGATGTTGCCGCTGGAGCCTCGCTCGAACTCTCGTCTCTTGTCAGCGACGATTTTAATCAGCGGGCGGCTACCTCCCGAGGCCGCACCTCCTGGCGATACCTGTATGGCCGGTTTAATGACGGAAGGAACGCCAGGGCAGGGAAGTGCCAGCAACTGCAGCAGAGTTACCACCAGGACGCCCGAGGAAGGTAACGTCCACTCCATGATGGTTTGGTTTATCCTGTATCAATCTGAGAGGAAAACCAAACATTAAAATGCGAGTAATTGAGGTAAATGGTTTAATACCTATCTAATAGTTTGTCCAAGTAACAATAGGTTTGAGATATTGGCAATTTGGAGGGATATATGGTGTATTTTTATACGTATATACTTCTAAACTGTTGTGTTCTGAGCACCTCTGCAAAAACAGTGATTATGTGTGAGTGAGGTGAAAGTGTTGAATGTATTTTCTTTCTGGGGATTTTCTTTCTTTTTGGGTCACCCTGCCTCGGTGGGAGACGGCCAACTTGTTAATATATATAGATATATATTATAATATATATATATATATATATATATATATATAATATATATATATAATATATAATATTATATATAGGAGGTACCACTTCTAGAACTGGACTGGGGACCCTCATCCTCAGAGAAAAAGAGAAAAGAATAAACTTACTTCAAGGAAAACTTAAGATTCTCCCCAGAGCTGCTTGATTATTTTCTTCTCCTATCACCTCCTTATATTCTATGCAAATTTTATTTAAAGACAAAATGCATTAACAAAAATACAAGAGGAAGTGGAACAGCATACATAACATCTGAGCGTCTACATTTCAAATACTTCATCCAGATCCCCGGCGGTGGGCCACGTGCCCAGAATGCTACAGGTATTTGCCTTCTGGATCGTAACACCGAGTCTCTGAAAGAGGAAGCTGTCTGCTCTGTAATCCTTGGTTTGTGTGTTGAGTTTTTCTCTCAGCTTCTTGAGGAACTACAAAGCACACTTGCCCCATGCGCTCCAAGGGTCTCCGACCCTACTGGGATGAAATTATAGCTACTGGGCAGGCAGTCATATTTGCGGATCTTCTGGGTCTCCCTTTAACTGGTGGCTCCACCCCCTTCAACTTCAGAGTATGGCAAGTAGGTGTCCGCCAACGTGGCAGTACAGGTGTAGCCCCAGACAATCTTCTTACCATCCTTCCAGGGTAGCATAGTGACTCCATCTGGACGCTTATGACATCCGTTGAACCTCCATTCTTGGGGTTCCAGTTGAGCTGGGCAATGGGCTGTGGCGAGACTTCTCTTTATGATGTTGTTGACCTCCTCATGTCTAGCATACTTTCCTTCTGATGTATAACACATGAGACCATGAAGTCAATTGATCGGCCGACACCCTACCGCAAATACACCTATGTTCGGTGAGGATGGGGGTGGCTAGGCGAAGAGCAACACCAATCTGAATGGCCTGTGGGTCGAGTTGGGTGCCCAGGGAAGAGTTGGGAACAGCTAAAAGGAAATCTCCTGAATGTGGTGCCTATATTACTGCTTTGTTGGCTGCTAGAAAAAACTTATCATAGGATTGAACTTACGGAGCTAGTCACGCCAATATGCCGCCCCTGCCCTACACATACCAAAACATTAAGATTATAAGATTATAATTTATATATTTGCATACTTACTCAGGGATTAATACTTTGTGCTGTGTCCTTCACACTTAATCACGTCCTTCATCCGTGTAGGAAGACTCTCACACAAATTCTTGAGGGTTTGGGGAGGTATATTATTCCATGCCTCATGTACAGTAGAGCAGCCTCCAGCCGCGGGATAGAACTGATGTCATTGCCCAGTAAACTTCGTTTCACTATTGACCAGAGGTTCTCAATAGGGTTTAGGTCTGGGAAATTGCCTGGCCAGTCATTAAACAACCTCACTTCACAGTCCTTAAGCCAGTGAACTACTGATTTGGCGGTATGATACGGTGCAACGTCCTGCATAAAAACCGTAGCCCCACACTTGTCAAAAGCCTCAGGTAAATTGTCATACAATAACTCCAGGTAATTATACTGGTTTATATACTGGATTTTGGGAAGCACAATGAGTTCACCAACACTCTGAGCACTGAAACACTCCCAAACCATGAGCGAGTCTGAGTGTTTGGTGGTTCCACAGGTGTAGCGTGGGTCTAAGTGGGTCATTTGACCTTAGGGCCAGTACACGTCCCCCACGGATACAGGTGACGGTGAAGGTTGCTTCATCACTATAAAGTACTTCAGACCACTGTTGAGGAATCCAGTGAAGATATTTCTTTGCATAATCCAGCCTAGGTTTCTTCTGCGGCTTGGAGAGGATCGGTTTCTTAACCTGGCGGTGACTACTGTAGCCCAGTTCTGACACACATCTGTTAACAGTTTTTATAGACACCTCTGAGAGAAGATGTGTGTTCTTTTTTTTTCAATTTGCTAGCAGTTATCTTAGGTGTACTCCCTAACTGCTTCTTTAACACAGTTAATTAAGGTACGAACAGATGTCTTCTTTGAGGGGCCAGGCCGAGGTCTGGCAGACGGTAACTAGACACCGCCACCAGCCTTGAAACACTGCACCCAGTTCCTCACTGAACGCTCACACACACCAACGTTCTCCACTATTTCTTTCATCTGTTGTCCAGCTTTGTGAAGCTATAGTTTCAGGTGTTAAAGACTTCCTTTTGCCCATAATCAAACATATAAAGCCCCAAATCAAAGGGAACACCGGACAAAAGAAGGAGCAGATAAGAGACAAAAGTACAACACTTCCTCTCACCATGGCAGCCACTTGAACACAGAGGAGTGACTGTGGAGTGTGGTGGCAGGCCGTGACATCATGCTGCTACCCGGCATAATGCACTGATGAAAAGAGACTCCTTGTATGGTAGCCTTTGATTTTCGTCATGGCATTATGCTGGGGCACTCACCCGGCATAATGCCTTGACTAGCACTGTAGAATAACCCCTCATAACAAGGATGTGCTTGTCCTGCCATACATAGAGAACTTATCAGTCCTACTGAATGAACTAAAGAGATTCAATATACAAGTTGTTTTCTAAGAATTCACGGACTGTTAAGAGTATGTTGATCAAGAATTCCCCTAAGCAATGTGTAAGAACATAAGAACATAAGGAAGAAGGAACACTGCAACAGGCCTACTGACCCATGCGGAGCAGGTCCATGCCCCCCCCCCAGGTTAGCCCAATGACCCACCCTGTCTGGTCATCTCCAAACAAGGATGGAGCACTGCACCAGACCCAGCAACACAAGCTAGTCAGGTCCAACTCACACCCATCCACACCCACTCATGTATTTATCTAACCTATTTTTAAAACTACACAATGTTTTAGCCTGAATAACTGTATTCGGGAGTTTGTTCCGCTCATCCACAACTCTATTACCAAACCAGTGCTTCCCTATATCCTTCCTGAATCTGAGTTTTTCAAACTTGAAACCATTGCTGCGAGTCCTGTCTTGGCTGGAAATTTTCAGCACGCTATTTACATCCTCTTTATTTATTCCTGTTTTCCATTTATACATCTCGATCATATCCCCCCTAATTCTAAGCCTTTCGAGAGAGTGCAGATTCAGGGCCCTCAGTCTATCCTCATAGGGAAGATTTTTGATACATTGGATCATCTTCGTCATCCTACTCTGTACGTTTTCCAGAGCATTTATATCCATTGTGTAATACGATGACCAGAACTGAGCAGCATAGTCTAAATGAGGCCTAACCAGGGATATATAGAGTTGAAGAACAACCTGAGGACTTCTATTATTTATACTTCTAGATATGAAGCCAAGAATTCTGTTAGCTTTATTGCAAACACTAATGCACTGTTGTCTTGGTTTTAGATTGCTGCTAACCAGAACTTCTAAATTCTTATCGCAATCAGTAGTATTAAGTTCTACATCATTTAGTTTATATGTGGCATGGTTATTTACCTGTCCAACATTTAGAATTTTGCATTTGTCAATATTAAACTGTATCTGCCACTTCTCCGACCATTGCATCAGTCTATTCAAATCAACCTGGAGTTCTCTAGTGTCCTCATTAGAATGAATTGGACGGCCTATTTTGGGGTCATCAGCAAATTTGCTTATGTCGCTATTTATTCCCTCATCTATGTCGTTTATGTAAATTGTGAACAACAACGGGCCCAACACTGACCCCTGAGGAACACCGCTTGTGACGTGCCCCCATTCTGATTTCTCCCCATTTATGCAAACTCTCTGCTATTTGTCAGCCATGCCTCTACCCAGGAAAAAATTTATCCCCCTATTCCATGTGCCTTAAGTTTCCTCAATAGCCTCTGGTGTGAAACTCTATCGAAAGCCTTACTGAAGTCCATATACACAATATCATATTCATTACCATGATCTACCTCTTCAAACACCTTAATGAAAAAAGTTAGTAAATTCGTAAGACAGGAACGCCCCTTTGTAAAACCGTGTTGAGATTCATTAATCAATCTGTGCCTGTCAAGATGGCTACGAATTGCTTCGGCAATTATTGATTCCATAAATTTTCCCACTATGGAGGCAAGGCTTATTGGTCTATAGTTCGAAGCCAAGGACCTGTCACCTGCCTTGTAAATAGGTATTACATTTGCCATTTTCCACTTATCAGGCACTATGCCAGTTTGTAGTGATATGTTAAAAAGATTAGCCGAAGGTATGCTAAGTTCCTCTTTACATTCCTTTAACACCCTTGCAAACAGTTCATCACGGCCTGGGGGATTTGTTAGGTTTTAGTTTCTCTATTTGTCTGAGGACCATGTCACTAGTTACCGCAATCGTACATAGTTTATTATCATCCTGTTCTACATAATCTATTATTTCAGGAATATCGCTAGTATTTTCCTGGGTGAAAACTGAGAGGAAGTAGGTATTTAGAATTTCACACATATCCTTGTCACTGTCAGTGATCTGATCAGTGTTACTCTTAAGTGGGCCTATCTTGTCCCTAATCTTACTTCTGTATACCTGAAAGAACCTTATTGAGTTAGTCTTTGAATCCCTTGCGACCTTAGCCTCATAATCCCTTTTTGCTTTCCTTATTCCTTTCTTTATTTCTCTCTTTAATTGAATATATTGATTTCTTAACTGCCCATCCCCTCTTTTGGTACGCCTATATATGCCTCTCTTTTGACCAATGAAATGTTTTAATTTATTGTTCATCCATTTGGGATCATTTTTGTTAGATCTAAT